CCCTCATGAATAATGTTTTTTATTTGAGGGCAAAATTAATAAAATTAATAATAATTATTGTAGAAGTGTAAAAAATGTAAAAATATATATATACAATCACTCATATATAAAAAAATGTAAATGCTTTAAATTAAAGATCAAATTTATTCATTACATTCTTATAGGGTCGAGGAGTGTATCTGTAAAAAATCATCAAAATCAGAGATAAAATAACCGTTAAATTATGATTTTTCGTTTATAACCGCCGAAAACTTTTGTTCCATTACGTAATCTCTGAATGTTTGTTTTTTACGATTTTTTACATATGCGATCTTGGAATGTGTACAAATAAGTTTGACGGTTAGATCGTTAAAAAAAGTTTCATAGAATGCATATTGCGTCAAAACGGTAGATTAAGCAAACACTTAGAGTTAATATTATACTTCTATTAAGTATAAAATAAGTTTTTGTGGTATCCACTAGTGTAAATACTTTAAATTAAAGATCAAATTTATTCATTACATTCTTATAGGGTCGAGGAGTGTATCTGTAAAAAAATCATCAAAAATCGGAGCTAAAATAACCTTTAAATTGTGATTTTTCGTTTATAACCGTCGAAAACTTTTGTTCCGTTACTTAATCTCTGAATGTTTGTTTTTTATGATTTTTTACGTATGCGATCTCGGAATGTGTACAATTAAGTTTGACGGTTGGATCGTTGAAAAAAGTTTTGTAGAATGCATATTGCGTCAAAACAGTACATTAAACAAACACTTAGAGTTAATATTATACTTCTATTAAGTATAAAATAAGTTTTTGTGGTATCCACTAGTGTAAATACTTTAAATTAAAGATCAAATTTATTCATTACATTCTTATAGGGTCGAGGAGTGCATCTGTAAAAAATCATCAAAATCAGAGATAAAATAACCGTTAAATTGTGATTTTTCGTTTATAATCGTCGAAAACTTTTGTTCCATTACGTAATCTCTTAATGTTTGTTTTTTACGATTTTTTACGTATGCGATCTTGGAACGTGTACAAATAATTTTGACGGTTGGATCGTTGAAAAAAGCTTCGTAGAATGCATGTTGCATCAAAACGGTAGATTAAACAAACACTTAGAGTTAATATTATACTTCTATTAAGTAATAAATAAGTTTTTGTGGTATCCACTAGTGCAAATACTTTAAATTAAAGATCAAATTTATTCATTACATTCTTATAGGGTCGATGAGTGTATCTGTAAAAAATCATCAAAATCAGAGATAAAATAACCGTTAAATTGTGATTTTTCGTTTATAACCGCCGAAAACTTTTTGTTCCATTACGTAATCTCTGAATGTTTTTTTTTACGATTTTTTACGTATGCGATCTCGGAATGTGTACAAATAAATTTGACGGTTAGATCGTTGAAAAAAGTTTCATAGAATGCATATTGCGTCAAAACGGTAGATTAAGCAAACACTTAGAGTTAATATTATACTTATATTAAGTATAAAATAAGTTTTTGTGGTATCCACTAGTGTAAATACTTTAAATGAAAGATCAAATTTATTCATTACATTCTTATAGGGTCGAGGAGTGTATCTGTAAAAAATCATCAAAATCGGAGCTAAAATATCCGTTAAATTGTGATTTTTCGTTTATAACCGTCGAAAACTTTTGTTCCGTTACGTAATCTCTGAATGTTTGTTTTTTATGATTTTTTACGTATGCAATCTTGGAATGTGTACAAATAAGTTTGACGGTTGGATCGTTGAAAAAAGTTTTGTAGAATGCATATTGCGTCAAAACAGTACATTAAACAAACACTTAGAGTTAATATTATACTTCTATTAAGTATAAAATAAGTTTTTGTGGTATCCACTAGTGTAAATACTTTAAATTAAAGATCAAATTTATTCATTACATTCTTATAGGGTCGAGAAGTGTATCTGTAAAAAATCATCAAAATCAGAGATAAAATAACCGTTAAATTGTGATTTTTCGTTTATAACCGTCGAAAACTTTTGTTCCATTACGTAATCTCTGAATGTTTGTTTTTTACGATTTTTTACGTATGCGATCTTGAAACATGTACAAATAATTTTGACGGTTGGATCGTTGAAAAAAGCTTCGTAGAATGCATATTGCATCAAAACGGTAGATTAAACAAACACTTAGAGTTAATATTATACTTCTATTAAGTATAAAATAAGTTTTTGTGGTATCCACTAGTGTAAATACTTTAAATTAAAGATCAAATTTATTCATTACATTCTTATAGGGTCGAGGAGTGTTTTTGTATAAAATCATCAAAATCGGAGCTCAAATTACCGTTAAATTGTGATTTTTCGTTTATAACCGTCGAAAACTTTTGTTCCGTTACGTAATCTCTGAATATTTTTTTTTTACGATTTTTTACGTATGCGATCTCGAAATGTGTACAAATAATTTTGACGGTTGGATCGTTGAAAAAAGTTTCGTAGAATGCATATTGCGACAAAACGGTAGATTAAACAAACACTTAGAGTTAATATTATACTTCTATTAAGTATAAAATAAGTTTTTGTGGTATCCACTAGTGTAAATACTTTAAATTAAAGATCAAATTTATTCATTACATTCTTATAGGGTCGAGGAGTGTATTTGTAAAAAATCATCAAGATCGGAGCTAAAATAACCGTTAAATTGTGATTTTTCGTTTATAACCGTCGAAAACTTTTGTTCCGTTACGTAATCTCTGAATGTTTGTTTTTTAAAGATTTTTTACGTATGCAATCTTGGAATGTGTACAAATAAGTTTGACGGTTGATCGTTGAAAAAAGTTTTTGGACCGCCAACAATAGATAATTTTGTAGTAGTGAAACCTTAAATTTATTTAACCGTCAATTGTTATTTACACTTTATTCTTCTGACTGAATTTCATTTAAATTTTTTTTTTTTTTGAAAACATGATAATCTGGTGGATGTAAGAAGATGATTTCACGTTTCGATATTTACGATTAACTGAAATATGAGTTAATGTCATATAATTTGTAGAAACTTTATAAACATCAAGCAATATTTTCACTAACCGTAGAACTCTAAATATAATATCAACGATCCAACGATCCAAACCGTTCATCTACCTGCACCCTCTAATAGATCATGTTTTCAAAAAAGAAAATCTAAAAAAACGAAATTTGATGAGAACAATGAAGCATAAATGTAAACAACAATCAACGGTTAAATTTTGATCTATGATTTATATGATTATAGTGGCGAATTTCGAAGTTAAACTCTTCATGAAAGTTATAAAGCTTGTCATTACGAGTGTTTATATATTTTTTTACACTTCTACATTAATTAAAAAACTATTAAAGACTTTAGGTATGCGAAAATATACTTAAAACAAAATTGCGTTTTTATGTTTTGGATGTGATAATATGGAATGTATATACTTATTTAGTATTATGTTTTTCATTTGATTATTTATTGGTTTAAAATATATTTTCCTTAACGGGTAACGGGTCGGGTCATATTACCTGTTAATATTATCGGGTCGATTTCGGGTCGGGTCATTTTACCCGTTTATTTTAACGGGTGTTACACGACACGACCCGTTAAGATATCGGGTATGACACGAAAACGACACGAACACGGAAAACACGACACGAATGCCAAGTCTATTTTCCACTCATTGTTGTCCGATAAGTCTCTATTTTTTAGAGATTTACTTTTCAATCTATTAGATATTCGTTTTGTCCTTGTATCGCTTTGTACCTATTTATTATAGTGGTTGTCCTTTTTTAGAGTTTTTACTGAAGATGATCTAATACGTATCATAATCTCAACAATACACGAAGAAGATTAAACCGAACACTTTTTGTTCTTGTTGGATCTTTGAAGAATGTTGTCATGCGTTTTTTTTTTGTGCAACCAAAAGAATTGCTAATTAATTGTGGGAATTTAATTATTTTGCAGTTGTCATTTTACCAAAATGATGAAAAACAATTATACATGTGTATTTTTTTGTGAATCGATTCTCATCAGCTTTCGTTTTCCCTTACAACTAATTGTCAAACCCAATAACGATATAACTCTACTAATATTATATATATCTGTAAAATACCCATAAGGGTAGACTGAAAGCTTTAAAATCGTAGAATTTTCAAAGGTGTCAAAATCGTGGAATTTTCAAATTTAATCAATATACGTTTGACTAAAACATGAAAAGTGACTAACATATTTCCAAAAACTAATTCAGTATTATAAAGTTCTTAAAGAATTTTTATTTTCATATCTAACATAAAAGTGATGTTATTTAGACATAAAAAATTAACATATTTGCTCTTATACTTCTAATATATAGGTGAATACCACATATATTAGTAGGACTCATCTACATTAAAAATATATCATCAAGTGCTTCAGATTTTTGCGTTAAATAATCTTATTAAAAACGAGATTCAGAATTAACTTAAGAAGGTTCAATACTTTCCACTCTGGCTCTCGTCCATTGGCATGGGAATGTAAATTGCAAGCACACAAAGTTGAGAAATTATTCAATATGCCCGAAATACGAGATAGTATACTATGTGTGATTTTATACGTGTTCTTTTACTTGTATAATGACATGTGATATACTACCCGGTATTCCGAGAACATTGAAAATTTTCTTCAACAAAGTTAAGATAACCAATCGCCCAACATATAAGCAAACAGTCCTAGATGCAGGTCAAGGCTACAAGATATTTTTCAGTGTGACTAGTACATGGGATGATACACCACTTGTCCCTATGCAAATGATATGATATGTGTGCTAAAAAGTTACTAACTTAAAAAATAAAACTTCCTACCGCTTTTATTAAAATATGTGATGTACCACTTGTGTTCCCATCACAACTAAAAATTTCTCTAAGGCTACCGTGTTCAAGATTCCCATCAAGTCTTTCATCACTCTTTTCCACTCTTGACTTTTGAGGAAAGCCTCGTTCCAATTCATGCATCCTTGCCATATATTGACGTATAAACAATACGATTTGGTAAATTGGGAGATAAAGTCATGCATCATAAGACAGACTGATCATCTACAGAGAGAAATGAAGAGCAATATGGTTGTTATTTTAGGGGTTTTTGTGGCAATGTTTGTGCAAAGTGTGGCAACACAGAAAGTGCATGTGGTGGGAGATAACATGGGTTGGACTATTCCAGGATCTGGGGCACAAGAATATGTAAATTGGGCTGCTACAAACAACTTCACGGTTGGTGATACACTCGGTAAGATTTTCCACTCATGTTATAAACACGTCGTTCACTCATATTATAATTTAAAATTCATGAACATGATATATATCATATTGTGATTTTTTGTCATTAACTCTTTTGTGCAGTGATACCAATTATTAAATAAAAGTATTTGTGCTCTATTTACGCATTATATTTCTTGTAGACGCATGTAGTCTAATATCCTGGTGATAGGATGTTGGGTTTATAACTAAATAACCTTATATTTTTTGTACTCACAAAATTCAAATAACTCTCCATGCTAGTTTTCAACTTCATCACCGGTGTACACAACGTTGTCCAAGTAACGAAGGCATCATTCCACTCATGCAACGAAGAAGAACGAATTGGCTCATCCCTCACAACTGGCCCAACAAACATCACACTCACCTCCGCAGGCGACCACTACTACATCTGCAATTTTAGCAATCACTGCCAGGTAGGCATGAAGCTAGCTGTCACCGTATCCAGTGCTTCCCCAGAATCGCCACTGCAAGGAACTGTGTATCTAGTCTTTGGTGTAGTTTTTAGCATACTTGTTTTCTCTCCCTTCCTAGAGATTTTCCGGCCACGAGGAAAAGTCAAGTCCTTCGACTCCAACCATGGGAAGACAAAGTCAACAGAGACCCCGGGATCACCTTTACCGACTTATCTATGTCGTTACTTTCCACTGGCTGAGATTAAAGCCGCCACCCAAAACTTTAACGAGACTTTGGTTATTGGTGTTGGCGGGTTTGGCAATGTGTACAAAGGGTGTATTGATGGTGGTGTCACTCCTGTTGCTATCAAACGGTTGAAACGGGAATCATCACAGGGGGCCCGTGAGTTCAAGACGGAAATCGAGCTGCTTTCCCAACTCCGCCACCGCCATTTGGTTTCACTCATTGGTTACTGCTCCGATAATGGCGAGATGATCTTGGTTTATGATTACATGGCACGAGGCACTCTCGGTGACCATCTCTATCGCACTGGTAACCTTAAACCTCTTCCTTGGGAACAACGACTCCAAATTTGTATTGGCGCAGCACGAGGTTTGCACTACCTTCACAGTGGTGCCAATGGCTCCATTATTCACCGTGATGTTAAGAGCACAAATATTTTATTGGATGAGAAAATGGTCGCCAAGGTTTCAGATTTCGGGTTGTCAAAAATGGGCACGATTAACACGTCCAAAACGCACATCAGCACGGTGGTGAAAGGTAGTTTCGGGTATCTAGACCCAGAATACTTTCGACGTCAACAGCTAACTGAGAAGTCTGATGTGTACTCATTTGGAGTGGTTTTGTGGGAGGTATTGTGTGCGAGGCCAGCTTTGCTGCATACGGTAGAGAGTAGGCAAATCAACCTCGCTGAGTGGGCCAAGAGTTGTCATGGAGACGAGACACTTGACCAAATCATTGACCCAAATGTGAAGGGTCAAATTGAAGTCGAGTGCTTGAACAAGTTCATTGAGATTGCTATAAGTTGCTTACATGATAAAGGAATCGAACGACCGTCGATGAATGATGTTGTGAAGGGCCTTGAGTTTGCACTGCAGCTTCATCAAAAGAGCATTGGAAGTAAGGGTGACAATACCAGTAGCACCAAGCAAAGTTGTGCTACCAATGAATCCATACAACATATATCTGTGACAATCTTCTCTGAGATCAATGAATCAACTGGACGATGATGAGCACTATTTTACAAAATGTGAGCAATATTCTGAAAATGATATCTCGATAGGATTTATGTATACATGTATATTGTTGGAAACTATTAGTATTTATGTTTATTTTAATGTTGCTTTTTTTGGGCTTGCCCCTAATAACAGAGTTTCATTTCCTTGCCTATTAGGGTTAGGCTAATTTTCTATATATATATATGATACTTTGTAGCTCTATAGAATAATAAGTGAATCACAATGTAATCCTCTGTGATTTGTAGGCGTCATTCTTTATTTTCGGTTAATAAAATTATATTCATTTGATATTCGTTTGTTCCTCGGTTTGTTCATATGGTTAGTTTGTTCGTCATGTACTCTGATTTTCAACCTATATGACATTGGGTGATACATATGCAACATCAGACTTATATGACATTGGGTGACACTCAATGCAACATCAACAACAATGGAAGCCGAAAGATGCAACAAGCAACCAGCAAAGAACGGAAGTATGAAACATTATTGTCAACTGACTTTTGAATTCACACATGAAATGTTTCAAATTTTGATGTTTTGAATCACATTATGAAGACTGCAACAGACTTTAGCCATCTTAATTAACAAAGCTTGGATTGGGTTTTCGTATATATGTAATAGACTTTTTAGTTAAAATGTTCCTGATCCCTGAAATTTGAAATCAATAGAAGTGGATCATGAATTTGTCGACCATCAATCATTTTGGTCATTTCTTGAAAAATCTCCATTAAATAAGGGAACTTTAACGAAAAACTCCCGGTACCGTTCACTTTAACGAAAAATCATATTTTTACACTAAAGAGTCAATCCTTGTACTGTTCACTTTACCCTTTATTTTGTCCTTATCCTTAAAACTCAAAGTTTTCAAGCATTTTTCATTAGTTTTCCTATTAAATAAAGATAAAATGACAGAAACACCCTCAATTTTTGTCAAATCATTTTGGCATATTGTTTATTAAGTTGAGAGTATTTTTGTCATTTGGTCCTTCATTTTTCAAGGAATGACCAAAATGATGGATTATGGACAGACTATAAGGACCACTTTTATTGATTTCAAATCTCAGGGACCAAAGTGATTAGTTATGCAAATATCTGGGATCATTTTAGCTTAAAAGCCCATGTAATATAAGTTCAGCAAACAATTAGATTTTGGAAACAAAACAACTTTTATGAGATTCAGAATTATCATTCAAGATATGGTCAAGAATGTCATATAGAAGGCGCTAATTCTTCGTACCGAAACATGAATGTCATCACATAATTCCTCCGGTCGTATTATATCACAGTGGAAAGTCGACTAAACCGACAGACTACTATTAAAAATTTGGCTTCAATTTCCACAAACATCACAACCTAAGCAAGTATGCAAGATCCATTGTATCATGGGCATTTTCTCATCCATCTTGACAACCGATTTCTACATGCACACACGAAATCGTTCAAATGTTAAGTTTTGAGGTTACATTAATCGTCTTTATTCTACGTTGCATACACTAGAACATTCGCCAACAAACTCATATCTTTTGTTCCATCAATTTGCTCATCCATCTTGACAAAGAATTTGGTAAACGGCAGAAGATAACCCTTGTATCACGAGCATTTTCTCTTTCTCGAAAAGATGTGATCATCAAACCAAAGCAAGATATCTACAACTTATTAGTACATAACCACTTAGCCATTAAAATCAATAGAGCTAGTAATTTGTTCTTCCAAAAGGTCAAGAACAGATAACTGTGAAATCATCTACAAATGGACAAAATGCATCTCATTGCATTATTTTTATCTTCATTTTTCTATTGACAAGACAATACTCTAAACCACTCCAATTTACGAGGACAATGATACGAACTAGGCTGCAAAGGGGAGACACAATATCATAACCAACCGGCCTAACCCACATCTTCATCTCAATGCATTTAAACACAAACAACTCAAAACCTACAAAAAATTTCCCCATTTTTCATATAGATTCAAACCAAAAGTTCAAAATCCCTCAACTTCTTCCGGGTCCAATACCGCAAATCCCAAATGCGAAAAGAAACAGAGGGTGTTGCTTTGAATGTAAAAGGGGAAATACCTGAGCATCGGGAGAAGAGGACATATCATTTTCTTCATTTGGAAGCGACATGAAGGAGCTAAATGGGTTTACAAACCTACCCAAAATACATAAAATTTATTAGAATTCATCGCCAAACAAAAGAAGAAATTGTTTTTTGAAAAGCAAATTTGATATTAAATCAATATCAATTCAGAATTTATAAGTATATAGATCGTGGAATTGAATTGATTAAACTAAGAGAGAGAGAGAGAGAGAGAGAGAGACACTGACTGATTGTTTCGAAGGGAGAGAGGGAAGTGATCGGAAGCTGCTCTGTGACTGATTGTTTCGAAGGGAAGTGAGCGGAGCAATTATGTATATGCACTCTAATTCCTAATAGCTTCCATTCTTCTTATATAACTAAGAAAGCGGTAATAAAATGCTAGAATTTTAAAAAGTATCAAAATTGTGGAATTTTCAATTAGTTGGTAATCAATTTACGTTGGACCAAAACATGCAAAGTGACTAGCACTTTTCCGAAAAACTAATTCAGTGTTATAAGGTTCTTAAAGAATTTTATATGCATATTTAAATAAACGAATGATGTTATTTAGACATAGACAACTAATATATTTGCTCGTACAATTTCTAATAAGTGGGTATCCCATGTCCGAGTATGACTCATTTACATTAGAAAATATATCATTAAGTGTGTCAAATTTTTGTGTTAAATAACGTTAAAAAATGAGATTCATAACTAATTTTAAAAGCACTGTCTCCCGTTCACTGGGAAGCACACAAAGTTAAGAATACCAAGCGTCCCACATATATGCAAGCATTCCTAGATGCAGGTCAAAGGCTATGACAGATTTTTCAATGTGTCGAAAACAGGGTTTGATACATCAAATATCATAATACAAGTAGTTCAATATTTTAAAAAAAATTCAACTACTTATATTATGATACTTTGTGTACCGAATCGTGTTCTCGATAAACTGAGAATTTCTCCGGTCAAGGCTACCCGTCCAAGACTCCAGCAAGTCTTTCATCACTCTTTTCCACTGTTGACTTTTGAGAAAAACCTCTTTCCAATTCATGCATCCTTGACATACATTTATACATATACATATACGTATATATACATATATTGACATATAATCCATAAAATTTGGTGGAGTAGGAGATAAAATCATGCATCAGAAAACAGACTGATCATCGACAGAGAGAAATGGAGAGAAGCCAAAATGGTGAAGCTTTCGTAATACCCAAATTACCCGCCTCCTTTTAAGATTTACAAAAGATATACAAAAGAGACCACATAGTGAAACTGTGGATGGCTATGCTCATTATATCTCAAAATATACTTTAATAAAAAACAATAATATTTAAATAAGTAAAATTAAAAAAATAATAATTAAAAAAAGCTAATTATCACACATATAGGCATATGGCAAGAGAAAAGTAATAAAGCGAATAATTAGTTCTGATTATCAAGTTTGTAAGGTAAAGATATGTTAATCTGAAGCTGATAGACAAGTAGGTTCCCAATAGGAAGGACAAAGTATTTTCCCAAATGAATATACCTACTTGATTAGGTTCAAAATAAAATTGGCCATATATTATATGGTTAATTAGTAAAGTTTCCAGCTAAATAACCTTATTTTTTGTACTCACAAAATTGCAATAACTCTCCATGCCAGTTTTCAACTTCACCACCGGTGTACACAACGTTGTCCAAGTAACGATGGTATCTCACAACTGGCCCAGCAAACATCACACTCACCTCCGCAGGAGACCACTACTACATCTGCAGTTTTAGCAATCACTGCCAGGCAGGCATGAAGCTAGCCATCACCGTATCCAGTACTTCTCCAAAACCGCTATTGTCAAGAACGCATGAAGCTAGCCATCACCGTATCCAGTACTTCCCCAAAACCGCTATTGTCAAGAATTATCTCCCTCGTCTTTGATGGAGTTTTTGTCATACTTGTTTTATCTCTCCTCCTAGGATTCTTCCAAGATATGTTCCAATCACGAGGAAAAGTCCAGTCCTTCGACTCCAACCATGGGAAGACAAAGTCAACAGAGATTCCGGGATCACCTTTACCGCCTTATATGTGTCGTTACTTTCCACTGGCTGAGATTAAAGCCGCCACCCAAAACTTCAACGATACTTTGGTTATTGGTGTTGGCGGGTTTGGCAATGTGTACAAAGGGTGTATTGACGGTGGTGTCACTTCTGTTGCTATCAAACGGTTGAGACCAGAGTCATCACAGGGGGCCCGCGAGTTCAAGACGGAAATCGAGCTGTTTTCCCAACTCTGCCACTGCCACTTGGTTTCACTCATTGGTTACTGCTCAGATAATGGCAAGATGATCTTGGTTTACGATGACATGGTACGCAGCACTCTTGGTGACCATCTCTATCACATTGGTAACCTTAAGCCTCTTCCTTGGGAACAACGACTCCAAATTTGTATTGGCGCAACGCGAGGGTTGCACTACCTTCACAGTGGCGCCAATGGCTCCATTATTCACTGTGATGTTAAGAGCACAAATATTTTATTGTAAGAACTCTAACACAGATCGATGATATGCCAATTGAATTACCAATGTTCTGAAACAAGTCAAGTGACAAAACTTATGAACAAGAACAAGGATTGCTGAGAACATACCTGCAGAATTTGAACTTGAAGAAGCCATAACAGCCTCTGTGTTCAAAACCTTCTCCTCTTTTACGATCACAATAGCTTTTCTAATCAATAGGACTTAGAACAACATAAGCTAATATCGCAAGAGCAGTGGTTTGAACCATAAATATATAGTGCTCCTTCGTCCATTCCCTATCAAAATTGGACTAGGATTCAAAGACATACAAACCATAAAGATTCATGAGACTTTATAAAGTTCCAACACAAAGTTCTTTTCCAAAACCAATCGGAACTTCTCTCAAGACTGCATTCCTTATCAGATTTAGACTTCTTTATAATATCAATTATCCTAAGACTTATAAGAATCATACTCATACTCTTACATTCTCCCACTTGAGTATGATTCATCACAATAGATAATCATCTCAAATTATTATAAAGGTGATCAGATAAGTCATTCACCATCACACTAGTACATAGACACAACCTGCTTACATAAACCAAAACAATGAATTTATAATTGCCTCTGCAACACAAAATACAGATTTAACTTACAAATCACAATGTCCAGTTTATGTTCATAGCAATGTATCTAAGCTCAAATTGATATAAAAATTACCAAATGTTTTGGATAACAAAAGCTTATCCTCACATACAACTTACCTATGCATTTTAAAGTATTGAACTTAAGAATCTTTTCTGTTACATCGCAGAATTAACTCAAAAGTCACAACATACTTAATTTGCACATTGTAATTATGTGAACCAAAATAGCAAAACCAAACCAATTTGCTCCCACTTATCTAGGCCATACTTAACACAAACAAGTTAAGTATAAGTTAATATCAACTGTATTAACTAACAGTCATTGCAATACACTGAATGTCTTATTAATGTGATCAATTGCCGCAACCAATACGCAAACAAATTCCATGATCACATTCATCCAATTCGTATTTACAACAATGCGATTTTACTTGACCAGAGCAAACACATAAATTGATTTGCTCCCACTATATCAAGTTAAGTTTAGTTCCAGCAAATAGCACTAAACTTCTCATTACTTAAACAAATTAAGTAACATAAATAATTACCAATTGCTTCAATAAAACCATAATCTGGTTTTCAAGCATCCATATGAATTATAATGGCCGGCTTAAATACTCTTAGCCTTATGCTTACATTCGAACATACGATTCTCCCACTTAAGCATAAGGAGAATATACTGCACAGTCAATAAAGAAATCGGAGATATGAACCAATTGGTTCCCGATTCCTTACCTATTGCATAATCTCAGTTTAGTCATATACACCTAAACCATTATACAAAACAGTCTATGTATCAAAAGATAGTCGCAATCCATTCGGAAAAACTTATCTCACATAAACTCAAAATCACCAGTTTCAACAATGATCAAAATCAGAATAGCAAGCACAATATTTTTGCATTCAATTTGATCTTAACTAGTTCAATATCCATCGAGCAAGATCAACCAAAATTTGATAATGTTTGGATATATATCACACCAATATATCTTGATTAAAACGAGATAATCAAGACTACTATTTCTTCTGGAGAACTCGAAGTTCATCTTTCTCCCTATTTGTGATTTCAACCAAAATATAATAGCGGAAGCATGCATCATGAAATCACAAATATACATATACAATAAGCATGCATCGATATATACATGATAAGATTAGTCGACAATAATCCAGATTAAAAATCTTCATGCCTTTAATTCATTGTCAACACCATCATCAATTATATACAGATTCGTAAGCAAGTCCTTGGAGAAAATAATGATAACTGCATATCATTAGTCTTATGAATTTCCAATAAGATGACAAATAATTATTTGTTTTCCGATTCATAATAGAATATATATTTTGTAAATGGCTAAAAGTTTATTGTCACAAGACTCATTATAGGTGGTCAATAAAACATCTACCTTATATATTCATTTGTTCATATATTTTCTTGTATGCTTGCATCAATATTCAGATAAACTTATGCAAGTTCTATTTGATATAGATAAAGCCGCATGCCCATAATTACAACATCTATGCACGAATGCTATCTAGATATGAATACAAATTTAATTCATATATGCGATTTATGTATAAGTCACAAAGCAATTGACATCCATTTTATATATGCATTCCATGTTGTTGCTTTATATTGCTTGCCGACTTGCACATGATATGCAGTCAAATCCATTCCAACCCAAACTTGATATAAATCAAACCAATTGAAAATCAGGAATTGACAATAAGATGCGCACTTGTGCTGCTCCCCGCAATTAAATGTATTGAGATTCATACATGAAACAATGCATATACACAGACTCTTTAATGAAAAATGGAAAAGTATATCTAGACAAATTTGTTTATGCAGCAAAGTATGATTCCAGACATCTCACATAAATCACAAGTTGGCATCTATAGGGATTTCGAGTTTAATCATGCCTTTACAATTTATATAAATAAACAAGCATACTCGAAATAGCAAAAGGCCTAATTCATTATGCTCCAACTCATCACACTATAATCATGCATATAGGAGAACAATTAATCACGCATGAAACAGTGAAGTGAGTTACCTGAATGCATCATTGGACTCGTATTCGTCAACCAATTGCAATTCCTCGACTCCAAATCAACGAAATTACTTATCCATCAGTGCTTGAGAATCGTCCATGCGGATTGTCATCACTCCAAATTCCCATGCGGATTGCCATCATAATCAACACAGCGGAAACAAGAATTTTGAAAATCAGAATTACGATGTTTATGAGAGATGTATACTGATAAATTACTATACTTATCACCAAATAAGCAAGCATGAAAAAGTTCTCTCAAACCCAGATTGAGAAACACGGTTTCAGAATAAGTAACTAATCTTGACACCAATTCCATTTAACTCAATCTAAATGTTAAACAAAATTCAAGAAATTGCAATAAGATTTCAAAAATACATACCCTTTTTATGAATGGTTTCAGGATCGTATCAATCTTAGCATCAATCATGTATAAAGATTGCAGTATTGTATATATTACATCAGGAGTTTTGTATGTATCAAGGATCAAAATTCAATAAACTCGATATAATACATCAGGAGTTTTGAATTATAAACATACCTTTGGGAACAAAAGAAAAATATATATTATCGCAAATCCAAATCTTAAATAAAGATGGTTGTGAACGAGAAGATCTAGAAGCAAAGCATGTTTGGATCATCACAACTTCAAACCAAGAAGAGAAAAAAGGTGCAAACCCAGAAAATTTCGAACAAGGTTATGCGTTTTGCCAATATTCAATTTAAACAAGGTTATACGTTTTCTGGGTTTGGAACGTTTAAGTGTTCATAGCTTTTCCATCAGATTCTTGTGTAAATTTCGAACTCAATGACAATAATCAACTAGGCTCTGATACCACATGTAAGAACTCTAACACAGATCGATGATATGCCAATTGAATTACCAATGTTCTGAAACAAGTCAAGTGACAAAACTTATGAACAAGAACAAGGATTGCTGAGAACATACCTGCAGAATTTGAACTTGAAGAAGCCATAACAGCCTCTGTGTTCAAAACCTTCTCCTCTTTTACGATCACAATAGCTTTTCTAATCAATAGGACTTAGAACAACATAAGCTAATATCGCAAGAGCAGTGGTTTGAACCATAAATATATAGTGCTCCTTCGTCCATTCCCTATCAAAATTGGACTAGGATTCAAAGACATACAAACCATAAAGATTCATGAGACTTTATAAAGTTCCAACACAAAGTTCTTTTCCAAAACCAATCGGAACTTCTCTCAAGACTGCATTCCTTATCAGATTTAGACTTCTTTATAATATCAATTATCCCAAGACTTATAAGAATCATACTCATACTCTTACATTTATTGGATGAGAAAATGGTCGCCAAGGTTTCAGATTTCGGGTTGTAAAAATTGGGCACGAACAACACGTCCAAAATGCACATCAGCACCATGGTGAAAGGTAGTTTCGGGTATCTAGACTTGGATTACTTCTGACGTCAACAGCTTACTGAGAAGTCTGATGTGTACTCATTTGGAGTAGTTTTGTGGGAGATACTGTGTGCAAGGCCAGCTCCGCTGCATACGGTGGAGACTAGGCAAATCAACCTCGCTGAGGGCCAAGAGTTGTCATGGAGACGGGACACTTGACCAAATCATTGACCCAAATGTGAAGGGTAATATTGAAGTCGAGTGCTTGAACAAGTTCGTTGAGATTGCTATAAGTTGCTTACATGATAAAGGAATCGAACGACCGTCGATGAATGATGTTGTGAGGGGCCTTGAGTTTGCACTGCAGCTTCATCAAAAGAGCATTGGAAGTAAGGTTGACAATGGGGTTGCCTTTACCAATGACAGGGCGACAAAACCAATAGTACCGAGCAAAGTGGTGCGACCAATGAATCCAAACAATATATATCTATGACAATCTTTTCTGAGAACAACGAAACGAATGAAAGATGATGAGCAGCATTTTACGAAATGCGAGCAATATTCTGAAAATGATATCTTGATTGGGTATATTGTTGGAAAATATTAATATTTAGATTTGTTTTAATGTTTGGTTTTTGGGGCTAGCCCATTAATATAGAGTTTTGTTCCCTTGCCTATTTGGGTTAGGTTATTTTCTATATATATATATATATATATATAATCATTTGTAGCTCTATAGAATAAAAAGTCAATCACAATGTAATCCTCAGTGATTTGTAGCCGTCATTCTTTATTTTCGGTTAATAAACTTATATTCATTTGATATTCGTTTGTTAGTTTGTTCATCATGTACTCTAATTTTCAACCTATATGACATTGGGTGACACTCAGATGCAACATCAACAACAATGGAAGCCGAAAATGCAACAAGAAACTTCTTTTCGAACGACTCCACTCAAAGTTGTTTGGGAGCATATGCTCCTATCAACTTTACCCGGGACACACAAAAGAAGTACTTTGATCCTATTAGACGAGGGATGGTGAAGAAGTTAAGACAGAAGGGTAGAGTTCAAGAGAGCAAAATGCGTTTAGGAACGTGGAATATAGGAACCTTAACGGGAAAATCTATGGAAGTAGTGGAAGTTATGGTGAGGAGAAGGATAAATATTATGTGCCTACAAGAAACTAAGTGGGTTGGTAGTAAGGCAAAGGATCTAGAAAACTCAGGGTTTAAACTTTGGTATTCGGGCACAAATAGAACGAGAAACGGTGTTGGCATCATCGTGGACAAGACCTTGGTACAAGATGTTGTAGATGTCAAGAGGGTAGGAGATAGAATCATGGCAATCAAGATTGTAATAGGACAAGAACTTATCAATGTGATTAGTGCGTACGCACCTCAAGTAGGCTTGGATACGAGTTCGAAGGAGAAATTTTGGGAAGATCTTGGAGACTTGGTGCAAGGAATTGCTCAGACAGAGAAGTTATTTATAGGAGGAGATTTAAATGGACACGTGGGCAGGGAAACAGGCAACTATGGAGGTTTTCATGGTGGCCATGGTTTTGGGGAGAGAAACGAGGATGGGGAAGCTATCTTGAATTTTGCAATGGCATATGATCTCTTCTTAGCCAACACCTTCTTTAAGAAGATAGAAGAACATGTGATCACCTACAAGAGTGGGTCGTCAAAAACACAAATAGATTTTCTTCTAATGAGGAAATGGGATCGTATAACTTGTAAGGATTGCAAAGTTATACCAGGAGAGAGCGTGGCTAATCAACATCGCTTGTTGGTGATGGATGTACATATCAAAAGAGCAAGACAAAAGAACAAGACTTGGAAGTGCCCAAGGACTAGATGGTGGAATCTAAAAGAAGAAAAACAAGCCATTTTCAAAGAGAAGGTAATCACCCAATGTGTGTGGGATAGAGAGGGGGAAGCTAGCCAAATGTGGGATTCCATGGCTAGTTGTATCCGAAAAGTAGCAAAAGAGGTATTAGGAGAGTCCAAGGGCTTTGCCCCACACCAAAAGGAATCTTGGTGGTGGAATGAGGAGGTACAAACAAAGGTGAAGGCTAAGAAGGAATGTTGTAAAGCCTTATACAAGGAGAGGACCGATGAAAATGGTGAAAGGTATAGAAAAGCGAAGCAAGAGGCGAAGAAAGCTGTCAGAGAAGCTAAGTTAGCGGCTTACGACGATATGTATAAACGACTAGATACCAAAGAAGGAGAGTTGGATATCTATAAACTATCTAGAGCAAGGGAAAAGAAGACAAGGGACCTAAACCAAGTGAGGTGCATCAAGGATGAGGATGGAAAGGTTCTTGCTACAGAGAACGCGGTTAAAGACAGATGGATAGGTTATTTTCATAATCTTTTCAATGAAGGACATGAAATGAGTGCTTCTTTAGGGGAGTTGAGTAACTCAGAAGAGTGTAGAAACTACTTTTTTTATCGTCGAATCCGGAAGGAAGAAGTGGTTGTAGCTTTGAAGAAGATGAAGCATAAAAAAGCAATAGGCCCAGACGATATACCAATCGAAGTGTGGAAACTTTTGGGAGAGACAGGTATAACATGGCTCACTGACCTTTTCAATAGGATTTTGAAAACGAAGAAGAAGATGCCAAATGAGTGGCGAACGAGCACTTTGGTGCCTATCTACAAGAATAAGGGCGACGTACAAAATTGCATGAACTATAGGGGTATTAAGCTAATGAGTCATACAATGAAGCTCTGGGAGAGAGTCATTGAGCATAGATTGAGGCAAGAGACACGGGTTTCGGACAACCAATTCGGGTTCATGCCAGGGCGCTCAACCATGGAGGCAATCTATCTCTTACGAAGATTGATGGAAAGATATAGAGATGGGAAAAATGATTTACACATGGTCTTTATAGATTTGGAAAAAGCGTATGATAGGGTCCCAAGAGACATTCTTTGGAGGATTTTAGAGAAGAAAGGAGTACGAGTAGCATATATCCAAGCTATAAAGGATATGTATGAAGGAGCAAAGAATGCCGTAAGAACTCATGAAGGACAAACCGAAAGCTTTCCCATAACTGTAGGATTACATCAAGGCTCATCCTTAAGTCCTTACCTTTTTGCGTTGGTAATGGATGAGTTAACAGGACATATTCAAGATGATATTCCTTGGTGTATGCTTTTCGCAGACGATATAGTGTTGATAGATGAAACTCAGGAAGGGGTAAATGCAAAGCTTAACCTTTGAAGAGAAGTGTTGGAATCTAAAGGTCTTCGCCTAAGCCGATCAAAGACATAATATATGGAGTGCAAGTTCAGTGCAAATGGAGGCCAAAACGAGTTAGGGGTGAGGATCGGAGATCAAGAAATACCAAAGAGCGACCGTTTTCGTTACCTAAGATCTATCTTGCAAAAGAACGGAGAATTAGATGGAGATCTCAACCATAGAATACAAGCTGGATGGATGAAGTGGAAGAGTGCATCCGGCGTGTTATGTGACCGCCGTATGCCACTGAAGCTCAAGGGAAAATTTTATAGGACGGCAATAAGAACCGGCGATGCTGTAAGGCACAGAATGTTGGCGGTGAAACATCAACACGTACACAAAATGGGTGTAGCGGAGATGAGGATGCTTCGTTGGATGTGTGGGCACACGAGAAAGGATAAGATTAGGAATGAGGATATCCGGGGTAAAGTAGGAGTAGCCGAAATTGAAGGAAAGATGAGAGAAAATCGGTTACGGTGGTTTGGACATGTGCAAAGAAGGCCTACTGACGCTCCGATTAGAAGATGCGACTATGGACAGAGGTTCAGGGCCGAAGGGGTAGAGGAAGACCTAGGAAAACTTTGGAAGAGACTCTAAGAAAAGACTTAGAGTACTTGGATCTAACGAAGGACATGACACAGGATCGAGCACAATGGCGTTCTAAGATTCATATAGCCGATCCCACTCAGTGACTTGGATTTTCCAAGTCTCCAACCGAGAAGTTTTCCTCACTCGGAAAATTAAGGGAACACTACCCCAACCTACATGCTCCACTCAGAAAGCTTCAACATACAAGCTTCAACAAAAGAAAATTCAAAGAACTTAGCGAAGAAGGCTTTGGTGTATTTTAACACAATACGTTGAAATGAAGGAAAGCTTATTTATTGATATCCCCGATAAGCTACAAATATGTACATATACATGAGTCAAAATAAACACACAAGAGGGAGCCTTCACAAAGGTTGCTTAGGAGAAGTCTCAGCAGTCGGTAGAGCCCCAGAAAGAGAAGGCACCGGAGGGGGATCATTTGGAGCCTCAGTACTGGACAGAACCCTAGAAGGAGGAGGCATCAGAGGTTGATCATTTGGAGCTTCATTACGCGGTACAGCCCCAGAAGACGAAGGCAATAAATGCCTTTGGAACAAACCCACAAATCTCTGATGATCAAGTAAAACCTGACCATCAGTTTCCTTCATCTGGTCAAGCTTCCTCTTCATGTTTGTAGCATAGTCATGTGCGAGCCGGTGCAACTGTTTATTCTCATGCTTGAGCCCTCTAATCTCCTGTTTGAGACTCATCACTTCAGCCGCCAATGATTCAACTTGGCGGGTTCGAGCAAATAGGCGTTGGGCCATATTAGACACAGAACCTGCACACTGAACACTGAGAGCCAGCGAATCCTTAACAGCTAACTCATCAGACCGTTTGGAAAGTAGTCTGTTATCTTTGGGAGTGAGAAGGTTCCTTGGCCACCACCGCAGCGGTCATATCATTCTTCATCACGGAATCCCCAACGGTAAGAGGACCAGTAGGGGAGACGAAGGATGGGACGCCATATGTTGTCTGGAGAAGGCGGGGCTGCCTCTTCAACAAGGTTCAAGTCAAAACGACGGTCGGAGGGGCCAGACATTTTCAAAGGTGTTGAAGAGAGAAGAGGTCGGACAAATCAAGATCTTAGAAGTGCAAGAATGAAGCTTCTACTGGTGGAGATTCAAGTGTGCTTTGGAACTTAATGCCAGCCCTATATAAAAATCTGCACTCGACGGAGCTTCAGAAATCGAAGAGGCGCCTGCTCAGAAATCGAAGAGGCGTTTGCTTTCTCAAAAGCTGGGCTGCTTAGAGATCACGAGGGTTGATCTCAGAAATCGAAGAGGCGTTTGCTTTCTCAAAAGTTGGGCTGCTCAAAGACCACGAAGGCCGATCTCAGAAATCGAAGAGGCGCTCGCTTTCTCAAAAGCTGGGCTCCCCAGAGACCACGAGGGCCGATCTCAGAAATCGAAGAGGCACCTACTTTTCCAGCCTTGTCAGCACCTGTCACACGCACACTCAGCTTTACGGAAATTATGGGCATTCTGTCGAAGACTTTTGGGGAAGTAGAAAACACATGAATCTTACTGTTCAATCACCCACTTCCCACACGCAACAATAGCTCATGGGTACCACAGAAAACTTTGCCAAAGTTCTCTGCCAAAGTTGAGCACGTGAAGCTTGCAGCTCCCACTACATTGCTCTGACCAAGAAGGGTAAAAGAATAGCAAAGAAATAGCATTAACAAAGTTTAGACCCATAAATTTTGAAGGTCTAGCTACCATATTATTACCCACAAGGGTAAAGGAACAGTACCACTACTGGATAATTGGAAAGTCCTTGTGTGTCAACCTCTGTGCTTCGTGGCAAGGTAGACTAGCAAACATGCCCAACCTTTACTCACATTCGAGAAAACACTCCCAATAAGATTGCTTGCTCCAAAATCGAAGAGGCACCGTCCTCCGAATCTCGAGAGCCAGACTCCCAACATGACTACTTTCTTAAAAATCGAAGAGAGGGTAAAGGAACAGTACCATTGCTGGATAATTGGAAAGTCCCTGTGTGTCAACCTCTGTGCTTCGTGGCAAGGTAGACTAGCAAACATGCCCAACCTTTACTCACATTCGAGAAAACACTCCCAACAAGATTGCTTGCTCCAAAATCGAAGAGGCACCGCCCTCCGAATCTCGAGAGCTAGACTCCCAACATGATTACTTTCTCAAAAATCGAAGAGACACTGCTCCCCGAATCTTTGAGAGCCAGACCCCCAGCATGATTGCTTTCTCAAAAATCGATGAGGCATCGTTCTTCGAATCAATCGAAGAGGCGCTCGCTTTCTCAAAAGCTGGGCTGCTCAGAGACCACGAGGGTCGATCTCAGAAATCGAAGAGGCACCTAATTTTCTAGCCTTGTCAGCACCTGTCACACGGACACTCAGCTTTGCAGAAATTATGGGCATTCTGTCGAAGACTTCTGGTGAAGTAGAAAGCACATGAATCTTACTGTTCAATCACCCACTTCCCACACGCAACAATAGCTCATGGGTACCACAGATAACTTTTCCAAAGTTCTCTGCCAAAGTTGAGCACGTGAAGCTTGCAGCTCCCACTACATTGCTCTGACCAAGAAAGGTAAAAGAATAGCAAAGAAACAGCACTAACAAAGTTTAGACACATAAATTTTGAAGGTCTAGCTACCATATTATTACCCACAAGGGTAAAGGAACAGTACCACTGCTGGATAATTGGAAAGTCCCTGTGTGTCAACCTCTGTGCTTCGTGGCGAGGTAGACTAGCAAACATGCCCAACCTTTACTCACATTCGAGAAAACACTCCCAACAAGATTGCTTGCTCCAAAATCGAAGAGGCACCGTCCTCCGAATCTCGAGAGCCAGACTCCCAACATGACTACTTTCTCAAAATCGAAGAGAGGGTAAAGGAACAATACCATTGCTGGATAATTGGAAAGTCCCTGTGTGTCAACCTTTGTGCTTCGTGGCAAGGTAGACTAGCAAACATGCCCAACCTTTACTCACATTCGAGACAACACTCCCAACAAGATTGCTTGCTCCAAAATCGAAGAGGCACCGCCCTCCGAATCTCGAGAGCCAGACACCCAACATGATTACTTCCTCAAAAATCGAAGAGACACTGCTCTCCGAATCTCGAGAGCCAGACCCCCAGCATGATTGCTTTTCTCAAAAATCGAAGAGGCATCGTTCTCCGAATCTCGAGAGCCAGATACCACAGACCACTTTTTCAAAGTGCTCTGACAGAGTTAAAACATGTGAAACTGGCAGCTCCCACTACCGTGCTATGACCAAGCAGGGTAAAGGAATAACATTACTACTTGTTAGGGAGACTCCTATATATGTCGACCTCCATCCCCAACGAACAGACAGACCTGCAAAAATGTTCAACCCTTCATCATATCTGAGAAGGCACTCCCAACGAAGCCTTTCGAAATATTCAGCTTTCTTTCTCCCCGATAATACCTCTGCAAACAAGCTATACTAAAGCAAGAATATCTCATATCATCAGGGTTAAAAGCAAGACTATCCCATATCATGCTTTTTCCCTGTCTTTTCCTTTGGCCTTGTTTTTACCTGCAAGACAAGGAGAAAGAGAGTAATCAGTCAGCACTTGGAATCAAGCTTCCAGCCAGGAACTGACTGCCTGGAACCGCTTACCTGATTACTTACCTGGCATTGCTCTCGAGTACTCATCTTCAACATCTTATGTTTCCAGGGAAGATTCCGCATCTGCTTGAGGAACAGATAGGGCAAGTGCGAAGGATACAAGGAAGCATGTGAAGACAAGCGTAACAGCACATGTGCCGATACATCCATTACTCTATCAAAAGCAAAAGTATCCCATATCAGCAGGGTGGAACGTACTCTAGATTTGATGGACTTGTTTTGACCCTCAAATTCTTCAGTCGGCCTTATACTCTGGAGGAAACCAGAAAATCCTCCAGCTCAGTTCAAGAATAAGCCTGTGGAAAGTTACTTCTTCAAAAGCAAAAGTATCTCATATCATCTCTTCTCATTTTTCTTCTCTTTATCCTTCATGCTGCTGCAAGATGGGGAGAAGGTGAACAATCAGTCGGAGCTCTGATTGCTTACCTTGTCTGTCACCTCTTTCAGCAGACCCCCTAGCTCGGCGACTTGGGGGACTCCTACTACATGGTTTGTATCGCGCTTGACCAAGCCTGAAACTACAAGTAAGCTTCAAGTGAAATTGATACATTACCTTGTGCATCTCCACCAGTTAAAGATACCACCCCTGGATGGAGGAAGAGTACTTCCAGAGAAGATGCCACATCTACCTATGAGACAGATAAGGCAAGTCAAGACGACACCACACTCTGATACTTAGAAGTTTCGTGATTACGAGATCATTCTCCCACAATATTTCCTAATGTCATTTGTACTAAATCATTCACTTGTACTCACTAAAGGAGAGCTTGAACCTATGTACTTGTGTAAACCCTTCACAATTAATGAGAACTCGTCTATTCCGTGGACGTAGCCAATCTGGGTGAACCACGTACATCTTGTGTTTGCTTTCCTATCTCTATCCATTTATATACTTATCCACACTAATGACCGGAGCAATCTAGCGAAGATCACAAAAAGCGACCGTTTTCGCTACCTAGGATCTATCTTGCAAGAGAACGGAGAATTAGATAGAGATCTCAACCATAGAATATGAGCTGGATGGATGAAGTGTAAGAATGCATCCGGCGTGTTGTGTGACCGTCGTAGGCCACTGAAGCTCAAGGGAAAATTTTTATAGGACGGCAATAAGGCCAGCGATGTTGTATGGACACAGAATGTTGGGCGGTGAAGCATCAACACGTACACAAAATGGGTGTAGCGGAGATGAGGATGCTTCGTGGGATGTGTGGGCACACGAGAAAGGATAAGATTGGGAATGAGGATATCCGAGGTAAAGTAGGAGTAGCCGAAATTGTAGGAAAGATGAGAGAAAATCGACTCCGGTGATTTGGACATGTGCAAAGAAGGCCGACTGACGCTCCGGTTCGAAGATGTGACTACGGGACAGAGGTTCAGGGCCGAAGGGGTAGAGGAAGACCTAGGAAAACTTTGGAAGAGACTCTAAGAAAAGACTTAGAGTACTTGGATCTAACGGAGGACATGACACAAAACCGAGCGCAATGGCGTTCTAGGATTCATATAGCCGACCCCACTTAGTGGGAAAAGGCTTTGTTGTTGTTGTTGTTGTTGTGAATCACATTATGAAGACTACAACAGACTTTAGCCATTGTAATTAACAAAGCTTGGATTGGGTTTTCTTATATATGTAATATAAGTTCAGCAAACAATTAGAATTCGGAAACAAAATCAACTTTTATGAGATTCAGAATTATCATTCAAGGTACGATCAAGAATGTTATATACATGGTGCTCTTCTTCGTACTAGAAAACGAATGTCATCACATAATTCCTCCGGTCATATTATATCACAGTGGAAAGTGGACTAAACCAACAGACTACTATTCGAAATTTGGCTTCCATTTCCACAAACATCACGACCTAAGAAAATATGCAAGATCCATTGCATCCAAGTAACTTGGGGAGCTCACCAGTTCTTACTGTTTCATGGCTCTTCCAATGCACCAATCGAGTACTCCTCACCAGCAACAGCGGATGCTCCATTTGATAATCGGTTTGTGCTGTTGGAATTTGAATATGTGGAGTATGTAGATGCAGAGTTTCCCCGTGAATTCCGAGTCTGTGCAGCCGTGCTACTTCTTGTCACTTTGAGGCGAGCCTTTCTACCCTGTGGAGGAGCAACAAATCATAATATCTATTAGTCTCTCGTTTAAGGACTTCACAAATAAAATGTGGGGGAATGTCTACTACATGAAGAGATGACAGATAATTACCTTTCCCATACACTTCTCCAGATGAGGAGCAAACCTCCCAGCAACGATAGACCGACCACAATTCATGCACTCAAACACTTCACTGGCTACAGAAGGATGATTCTGCCCAAATATGTCAACCACGTACTTGCCATTTGCTTCACCACTATTACCAGGATCAGCTACCCTCACCCGTGCTTGGGCTGAAAGCCTTAGTTCTTCTTCCTCTTCTTCAAAATTACGATCAAGACCCAACTTTGCTATTCGATGACACTCAGATGCAACATCAACAATAATTGAATCGAGGAGGGCCCCAAAAACATGAGACGAAAGCTGCAACCACAAGCCATCAAATTACGAAATTATATTGTCATCCAATTTCTACATGCACACACGAAATCTTTCAAATGTTAAGTTTTGAGGTTACATTAATCATCTTTATTCTAGGCGTTGCCTGCACTAGAACATTCACCAACAAAAAGAAAAACCCTATACTGCTCTGAAGTAGAAATTTATGATAATACCAGAGGGATTGGCCTTCGAACATCCCGTACCTAAACATTTATTAAAAACGTAAAATCCACCAGTTTCTTCCACTATGGTAATCAAACTCATATCTTTTGTTCCATCAATTTGCTCATCTTGACAAAGAATTTGGTAAATGGCAGAAGACAACCCTTGTATCATGGGCATTTTCTTTTTCTCGAAAAGATGTGATCACCAAACCAAAGCAAGATATCCACAACTTACTAGTACATAACCACTTAGCCATTGAAATCAACAGAGCTAGTAATTTGTTCTTCCAAAAGGTCAAGAACAAATAACTGTGAAATCATCTACAAATGAACAAAATGCATCTCATTGCATTATTTTTATCTTCATTTTTCTATTGACAAGACGCTACTCTAAACGACTCTAATTTATGAGGACGAGGATACGAACTAGGCTGCAAAGGGGAGGCACAATGTCACAACGAACCAGCCTAACCCACATCTCCATCTCAATGCATTTAAACACATAAAAACTCAAAACCCACAAAAAAATTCCAACCCATTTTTCATACAGATTCAAACCAAAAGTTCAAAATCCCTCAACTTCTTCCGGGTCCAATACCGCAAAACCCGAATGCAAAAAGAAACAAAAGGGTGTTGCTTTGAATGTAAAAGGGGAAATACCTGAGCATCGGGAGAAGAGGACATTTCATTTTCTTCATTTGGAAGCGACATGAAGGAGATAATGGGTTTATAAACCTACCCAAAATACAGAAAATTTATTAGAATTCATCGCCAAACCAAAGAAGAAATTGTTTTTTGAAAAGCAAATTTGATATTAAATCAAGAATTTATAAGTATACAGATCGTGGAATTGAATTGATTGAACTAAGAGAGAGAGAGAGAGAGAGAGAGAGAGAGAGAGAGAGAGAGAGAGAGAGAGAGACTTACTGATTGTTTCGAAGGGAGAGAGGGAAGTGATCGGAAGCTGCTCTGAGACTGAAGGTAGAGAGGGAAGTGATGCCAAATCGATGGAATTGGGATTTTGGGGAAGGAGAACGGAGGGTGATACACTGCGACGCGCTTGCTTCTGTTATTCACTTCAACCTATCATAACATGCCATGTGGTCCCGAATAACTAAATTTCACCTATCGTTGCAAGCCATCTGGCCAAAAGTGGAAAAAATAATCTGAAAATACAAAAAGTTCCGTTGCCGGGAATCGAACCCGGGTCTCCTGGGTGAAAGCCAGATATCCTAACCGCTGGACGACAACGGATGTTGTTTATAAGTTGACAAATAATTACTATCTTATGCCTGACCTCACTTCAAAGAAAAGAGGACCTTTTAATTACTCACAATACTAGATCGTCCCAACGGACCTTTTAATTTTCTTGTTCCAAGCAATAATATATGAAAAATAAAATCTCAAATACCAAAAATCACTTTTAACCACTTGATTTATATGTTTTTTAATTTAACAATTTTTGTGCATTGAACTTTGCGTCGCATCAAAATTGGTCGAGAAAACAAAAAATTGGCTAGAGTGTGAATTGATTGCCTAATAACAAAAGTAAGCTTGCATCTGTCGCATTGGCAACTAATGGAGGCCTAGTAGGTCAAACCAAGAGTAGCTTGAATTTTCAAAATCTAAATTTTAAGTGGTAAATTGAAAAATTAGATTGGAGTGTGAATTGCTTCTATCAATAATCTTAACTACATAATTCGTCCAAAGAAAAACCAAGCATGGGAATAGAAAAAGTGGTTTTTCTAATTACGATTTTCCTACACATTCAAAACCTGGCAAATATTCACTCTTGTGCGAGTTTGATCTCCACGATTCTTCTCCTTCCTAACAATTAACTATATAACACTAATGATATCGTTCTACTTTAAAAAAAGTTGGCAAACTGATATCCAATAGATATATCACGATAATAAAGTAAATATATCAAAAGATTCATAATTACATTGGATACTCGTTGGCCATATACGACAAGAATAGTGCTATCTACACACCTATTTTTATTTATGACACATTCCTCTCAGTTTCGATCATCGAATCAAATTAATTAAAAAAAATCAATTACAAATATTTAACAAAAAAAATAAAAAATAAAAATAAAAATGTAAATAGCACGATACATGCCACAATCATAAGATTCATAAATATCAATTTCTACTATCACCGCCTTATTTTGAAATACACAGTGAGGTCATGACAAGTAGATTCTTAGCCAATTAAGTCCAAAGTAAACGCCAACTAAAAGGCTTTCAAAAATATTGGGCTGAGAATGATGGACCCACTAACCCATAAAATCCAACACAAAAAACAAGATTTGGATTAAGAAATCCTGGCCCACCAGGCCCACCAGGCCCATAACATTCTTTCACTTGTCACTTGTCACACCCCAAAAACTGTTAATGAGACATTTTTACCATTCGACGATTTTGTTCTTATATGCAGTAGTCATACACTTCACACTTCCAACCAAAAAAAAGCAACTCACATTTTTAATAATATTCTTCTTTACTAAGTAAGAGTTTAACTTTTGCATATGGCTAATTCAACACAAGGTTATTATAGTTGATTGGTTATGAGTCTTAATTTACCCTTTAGGGTAATGTATTGTTGTATTTAGAAGAAGAAAATATTTTTTTGTGTGACCGTAACATTATCAAACATTTTCTTATTACATGTGAATTAGTAGCATACATAACATGACCACGTGATGGAGAGATTTCTTAGTACCAATAGTCATAATACAAGTGGTTAAATATTTAAAAAAAGAAATTTCCAACCATTTGTATTAGGAATAGTCCATGTGCTTCATACATCCGGTCAATTTGATCCCTATGTTTTCAATTTGGCCAAAAATGTAATGACATAACCCAGTCAACTTCGTCTTCGCTTATCTTTCAAAATCTTTGTTTACTTTCTAAGAAAACTGTAATCTTAAAAATTATTATGTAGCTGATTTGCAAGCCTGCAAATAGATGTCCACAAGACTATATGTTGCAAAATATTTTAAAGTCTCGTGGTCGATCATCTGATCTTGCGTGCATTTAAAGAATTTATAGTGAAATTACATTTTCGTCTCAATTTTAATAGATTGTCTAGGATTGGCTAATTGAGGTAAATACGATGACCAATTTGGCTAAATTAGAAACACAAACACCAAATTAACTGATAGAGTAAAACGCTTGATCATTTTAACATTTAAGTCTTTATATTATGAAATTTAATGTACCGAGTCGTGTTCTCGACTCACTAAAAAATTTCTCCATGTGACGGTTCCAAATCATTTCGTTACTGATGAGAAATTTTTAGTTGTGATGGGAACACAGGTAGTACACCATGTGTTTTTATGTAAGTGGTGGAAAATTTTATTTTTTAAGTTATTAACTTTTTAACACACATATTCCACAATTTATATAGCGATACGTTGTGTACCATCTCGTGTGACAGTCACACTGAAAAATCTCTCGTTGCTGACGGGCATAAAAAATAAACCACCAATACAGCTGTATAGTCGCAATAACTTAGCAAGCAAGAGAGATTAGAAATTCAGAGATGAGGATGGTGACAGAAGCAGGACCATGGGCACCTTCTATGGCTCCTACGGCTTCTTCCCCACAAGACCAAGACGGGATTCGCACCTTGCTCGACAGGCACTACGCCTTGCATGGAGAGGTCATGATGGTGGTTGTGATTCTTCTGTTTGCTGCCTTCATTTTCTGCCTTCTCGTGTTTTCCCGTCTCCGGCGAGCGAAGAATCGTCATCCGCGATCTTCGCTCGATGAAGATTCCAACGTCGTTCGGAAGCCGTGTAGTTGTTTTTCATCATGGTTTATGAAAAGGAGGGCAGATGAACATGGTGCAAGCTCAACAGAGTTGCCATTAAGGAGGTGTAGTAGTGAAGTTACAAGAAACCCTAGTTGATAACGTTGCGGTTTCAACCCACCTTTTTTTTCCTGTTGCACGCGCTTGTTTATTTCTAGCCTTTGGATCGAATATATCGAACCAGAATAAGTGTGCAGAAATGAACAAAAATGTGCAGAAGGAGAAAAATGGCGTGCGGATATCATTCATGTTGTACTCAGAGAACTTTGCGTAGGAGATTTGGTGTCTGGGCTTTGTATGGCTAACATGTAATCGGGGATGTGGTTCTGATGAGAGCCTTCCATATCGGTATCACTGTAAAATGTCTCTTTAACCCCTACAGCTTGTCTAAAGTAGGCTTATATATCTGTGTATATATATGGTCCGAATTGTCAACCATCCACCTAAATATCTTTCTATTTTCATTCATGTTTTCTGGTATTATTTCGCTAAATTCATCTGCCTCCTTTGAGTTAGTAAAATGATTGATATTGAAAACTTCTTTCAAAACTTCGCCTCTCATCATGTCGAAGAACTTTGTTTCGGTTTTTTATGCTCCTGCTACATGTATCTGTGATCTAAGCATTTTCTGGAACTCAAAAATGCTTAAACCAGGGTGGAAGATTGTGCAGCAAACATTTTCCGTTGATTTCTGGGCTAAATTAAGACTACATAGAACACATACAGAAAATGCATCGATACACGCTGAATGCTTTAGATTGCAAGAAGAAACAGAGTTTTATTATTCATGCAGGAATGTTAAGTGATTTGCAATGTCTAGAATTTTCACGAAAGAGAATCGCAGTTTCATCGTTTATTGATACAGCATTATTGTTACATATAGTCAAGCTAATAAACTATGCTAGAGTACACATACAATACAACACCCAATCAAGTTGGCCAACGGCAACTGATGGTTGTTCCCCGAACTTGGCTTCATCGATTTTCCTAATTTGGCTGCTATTTACAAGGGTTCCCCGTATCAGAAAACCAAACTGCCAACTAACACAGAAGTAAGTGAAACTGTTAGGTTGTCGTCAAGCTCAGTGCTTATGGGAAGAGATTCTACCAGTGCCGAGGCAAGAGACACAACCAAGAAACCCAAAACCATGCCCCAACTTTCCTGAACAAACCCGAAGCTGGAGAAATAGTGCATGTACCTGTCACAGCATTACCAATTGTTAAGAAACATGCTAGATTCTGATATTCAATCCAGGTCTGAAAGAGCAGAAAAGTAAACCAGCAAAAGCTACCCGATAGATGTTAAAAAACCAGCAGATGCCATTGCAACACTACCGGCTATAGATTTGCTTCTGTTGTATGGAATTTTCCGAGTACCAAACCGCCTACCAACAATGTCAGCTAAACCTGAGGCAATCAAGAGATAGAAATTTGAGAGAAGTCCTGAGCAGCTCTGCTGTGAGATCTAGTGTTTTATTAAAAAAAAGAAGTCCAAGAGAACAGAATGGACAAACTGAATCAATTAGATGTACCATCTCCAGCGCACAAATTGCATATAAGAGCAATTGCAATAGGAGAAGTTCTCCAATAGATTAGACAAGCCAAAGTTATTGTCGTGGCATAGTACAGTGGTCCCTTAAGAAGTTCCCTGATGCATAAAGTAAAGGTTAATTAAAAAATCATGTTAGTTTAGGTAATCAACCAATGGCAATAGGCATCGAACAAAATTTGTTTTTTGCCTTTGCTCATACATAGCTTTGTACAACTTTTGGTTCCCACTAGCAGGTATCGCAAATTAGGTGGCCAACGAAGTAGTAAATAACCAAAACCTATTCCTTCTGTTGGCCAATGGGATGAAGCAATTTTTACTCTGGTCAAGCTAAGTTTTTTAGGAATTGCGGCATGAGATACTTGGGTCTTCCATCCGTAGTCTCTGTGTTAAATTATGGGATCCAGTTGTGAAGAAAGTAGAGAAGAGATTGAAGGGATGGTAGACTATAAATTTTATTGGATTTGAGTTCGGGCATTATGTTGATTATCATCTCTCTCTTTACAGTTCTACGCAAAGTTACAAACACATCGGAAAAACTAATGAGACATTTCTTTTGGAATGTTTTGGTGAAGGGAAAAGAGGTCATATGGTAAGTTGGGAATTGAAAACATTTGTCCCTGTTTTTTATATTATGTTAATAAAAAAATTTTGTTTTTCATAAAAAGATGGGGTCAAGTAGCTGGGTTACTTCACAGCAAATTAGCAA